GCTGTGTTAAGGCTCCCACCAGCATCCTCTGGTCCTTGCACCTCTTCCCCACTGGAGGTGGGGCTTTCCTCCTCCCTGGAAGAGGAATTGCTTCGCAAGATTTTTTGGAGGCTCCCTGTAACACAACTGCCCTTCTATGAGTCGGCCACGACTAGACCTAATGGTCAGGGGTCCCTTTACCTTTACCTTTAAGGAAAAGCGGGACATTCTGGGATCAAATCAGAAACTGGGACGGCTTCTGTAAATTTGGGACTGTCCCTGGGAAATAAGGATACTTGGAAGGTCTGCTATGCTGGTGTAAGTCCATCACCCCGGCTCAGCATTTTGCCAGAAAATCTTAAGTCAGCATGATTTACACCAGCATAAATCCCCCAAAAGAAGCATTTCAGGGGTGGGACGGGACAAGGAGAGATTGAGTCATGTGGCCTAGGGCCCAGCTCGGTCCATGCTCACCAGCTGTCTCAGCTGGCAGTAGGAGCCTCTGAACCATGTTTGGAATAGGGGCAACTTACGATGCTGGAGGAGTCCCATGGACTGCAAGAAGATCAAACCTATCCATTCTGAAGGAAATCAGCCCTGAGTGCTCACTGGAAGGACAGATCCTGAAGCTGAGGCTCCAGTACTTTGGCCACCTCATGTGAAGAGAAGACTCCCTGGGAAAGACCCTGATGCTGGGAAAGATGGAGGGCACAAGGAGAAGGGGGCGACAGAGGACGAGATGGTTGGACCGTGTTATTGAAGCTACCAACATGAGTTTGACCAAACTGCAGGAGGCAGTGGAAGACAGGAGTGCCTGGCGTGTTCTGGTCCATGGGGTCACGAAGAGTCGGACATGACTAAACGACTAAACAACAACAACGATGACCTTACTTATGCCACCTTCCTATAGTTAGGATTGTAACTCATCGTTACAAGCACAACTCCCAAATCCCCATTACTTACTGCGAATCTAAGTACCTGTAACAAGAGAGACTTCCACGGTCTACACAAGGCCTCCAGCACACATTGCTTCTGCTCCACTGTTGTTTTCCCTGTGTTGGATTTTAGATTGTAAGCTCACTGGGGGCAGGGACTGTCCTGTTATGCTTTCAAGCGATATGCACATTGATGGTGTAATAAAGCAACTATAAACACAAAAGCCTTTTCAAAATGTGCTCTATTTATCTGTAAGGTCATACCTATCCCACTAGCAGCAATGCACAGATGGTCCTCAGTCTTTTATCAGTTTCACTTCCCTGTTGTTGTTTTTTATAGCACCGCTGCAATGAACAAGCCTTCCTTGATGGCTGAGTGGGGAACGAGGCAGAGCCTCACTGTTAATTCACTGAGGCAAGGCATTCCCTGCTTCCAGCTGAAATATGAGCTATGGGGACCATGTGGAAAGACTCCTTAGTCTGGGGGGGGGAGCAGTTGGGTGAGCTTTGCAAGATTGTGTGAACAGCAGCATGTTGTTGTTGTTGTTGTTTAGTCGTTTAGTTGTGTCCGACTCTTCGTGACCCCATGGACCAGAGCACGCCAGGCACTTCTGTCTTCCACTGCCTCCCGCAGTTTGGTTAAACTCATGCTGGTAGCTTCGAGAACACTGTCCAACCATCTTGTCCTCTGTCGCCCCCTTCTCCTTGTGCCCTCCATCTTTCCCAACATCAGGGTCTTTTCCAGGGAGTCTTCTCTTCTCATGAGGTGGCCAAAGTATTGGAGCCTCAGCTTCAGATCTGTCCTTCCAGTGAGCACTCAGGGCTGATTTCCTTCAGAATGGATAGGTTTGACCTTCTTGCAGTCCATGGGACTCTCAAGAGTCTCCTCCAGCACCATAATTCAAAAGCATCAATTCTTCAGCGATCAGCCTTCTTTATGTTCCAGCTCTCACTTCCATGCACCACTACTGGGAAAACCATAGCTTTGACTATACGGACCTTTGTTGGCAAGGTGATGTCTCTGCTTTTTAAGAACAGCAGCACAGAGTGGCACAAATCCTTGGAGTTCCCCCCTTCCCACTGCCCAAAACAGTGAACGTTGCACAACCCCTTTTGCACTTGTTTCCTGAGCTTCCTCTGCCAAGATGCAACCCAAACATTTTCAAGCTTTCCCTGACAACTGTTTGTTATTTTTAAAGAAATCTAAATGACGAAAGAAGATCATCAAGATGCCAGACAACATACTTGCATACTGGGAAACCACAAATGGAACGAAACTATGCAGAGCCTAGTTTATCATGTGACATAGCATCACGGATCATGGCCTTTTCTCACCACCCCAGACGGAAGGTGATAAGGCAATCACAGGTTATTGAGTAATCTAGGGAATCTCCTTTTGTGTTTCCAAGGAAAACTTGGGCAAATAATGCACTGAGCATAACACAGCAATGAGCAGAAGGCAGCACACCAATAAACCATGCTCTGATTTCCAGTGGACCGCCTTGTGGAGCATAGGCAGCTGTTTGACTTTGGGTCCCTTTAAATCCATATTGTCTACACTGACTGGCAGGGCTCACCAAGATTTTGGACGGGGGGGGGTGGCATTCCCAGCGCAACCTGGACATGCCAGTGGCAATTGTACCTAGTACCATCTGCATGCATATCCACTGAGTTGAAGTCCATTCCCAGCTTGCTGTTGTGGGGATTATTATTACTATTTTTGCAAAGGTTGGCTTATACAGAGCTTGGTCCGAGACATGTAATTATGGCAGAGTGCATACACAGGATCAACTTGTTCCAGATCAGTGAAGCCTTAACTGCTGAGAGACTCTGAGCTTTGTAAACATAAAATAATTAAAGGAGCACACAGGGATTCTGAAATATACTAGGAGTTGAGTGTGGATTTCATGCTCTTTATTCAGCTCATAGTAGTGAGGAATCGAAGTTCCCCCGAAATGTCTGCTTTATATACATTATTTACACAATGGGCCCCACGTGATTGGTCAGTTCCGGGATTCTCCTGTAGGCCAATCAGGTTGCGGATTCACTTCCACCTGGAGTTGGATTGGGTGGCTCCAGCGGACCAATCAGACTGCTGCATTCTGGATCCTATTGTTCTAGGACCAATCAGACTGCAGCATTCTGAATCCTATTGTTCTAGGACCAATCAGACTGCTGCAATTTGGGACCTATTCAATTCAGTACATAACAGATTCCCAAATAAAACAAACTGATCCACATTTCTTCAAAACCTTCACAAGAAGTTGACTGTTTTCTTTAATAGGTTAACTTTTTTAACATTCCACAAGAGGAGGTGCCTGCAGCTTCCTTAAAAAAACCACAACTTTGTGAGTTTGATTTTTCTCTCTACATTTTTCATTTCAGCTTTAAAGTGAATCTTAAGAGAGCTTCAGCATCATGCACAATAAGAGAATGTGTCAGTATTCCAGAGTTCTTCATTTTATCTGTAAAACGTGACTTTGCCAGTACGGCGGGCCCTTATCTGAGAGTTGATGTTTGCAGATGACGCAGCGTTGACAGCGCCGAGACTCATGGACCCTTTCGCCCAAGCCCGCAGGGAGTTTGGCCTCACCCATCAGCCTGACGAAGACCAACAACATCCTGGGACATCTGAAGTGGTAGGTGGCTCTGTCTACCTGGCTTCCACCATAACCAGCAACCTTTCTGTCAATGCTGAGCTGGACAATGTCACCCAGTAAATCGGCATGAGGAAACACACCCCATGGTGCAATAAATGTTGTGGTGTGCCAATGCCATTTGTAGAGCAAACAGATGCACAGGACCCAAGGGTGTTGTTTAGGCATTTGGATGGATAATTTTTGACAGCTTACATGGACGAGAGTTTAAAGCTACACCTACCATAAATTAGTCCAAGTATTAAAGGTACAGGAGCCCTGCTCTTCCCTGCTCTGGTTGCTTGCTGGGGGCTGGGGAGGGCTGTTTTATAGGATCTGGTGCTGCGGGTTTCATGACTGGTTATCAATAAACGGGAGCCATATCGCCTGCTTTTCTTAGGCATGGCCCCAGTGCCCTCATGTTGCAACAGCCACATCTGAGTTAGAAGAAGAAGAGTTTGGATTTGATATCCCGCTTTATCACTACCCGAAGGAGTCTCAAAGCGGCTAACGTTCTCCTTTCCCTTCCTCCCCCACAACAAACACTCTGTGAGGTGAGTGGGGCTGAGAGACTTCAGAGAAGTGTGACTAGCCCAAGGTCACCCAGCAGCTGCATGTGGAGGAGCGGAGATGCGAACCCAGTTCACCAGATTACGAGTCTATCGCTCTTAACCACTACACCACACTAACTCTCTCTCTCACTGAATTATCTCTGGCAAAGATTGGCAGAAATTGAAGGTAGGAAGTCAACAGCAGAGAAATATGCAAGCCCCAAAGTGCTCGTTTTCGTGTGATCTGATGCATAACAGCAGTGACCAGAGGAGGAAGGACTGCATGAAGGACTGCAGAAAGAAGATGTGCCATGAAGCACCTGCCGCAGCACAACCGGACACCTTCATCTGCCCTAGCTGCAACAAAACATGTCTCTCCCATATCAGCCTCTACAGCCACAGCAGTGGCTTGATAATCTCTCAGAGAGAGTTTTCTTAGGCTTTCTCCACCCTGGATTGGCCACATGGGTCTATAGAGTAGCCAATCAGGGTCAAAGCAAAAACAGGATGTCATCACTTAGCAAGTACAAATTAGGTATCTGATGACATTGCTGCGATCAAGTGAGGCATGCAAGAATGAGGGTGACGCTTTTTAGATGAGTCACATGGGTGATCCCAACCAATTGGCAAGCATGACACCTCTATTGTGCTACGTAGCCAAACACATCTGATTATGTGATACGTGATAATATTACTAAGGGCGACGGAGGTCAATTTGGAGGGTTGCAAAGCCACATCTGGAAGATCCCCACCTGACTGACAAAAACTGAAGATGTGGACTCAGAGGTAGAGGCATATTCAAAAGACCCGAGAGGGGACAACCTAAAAGAGCAGGCAAACTGTTTCGCAAGGTCTTACAGAATAATATTCCATGTGTTTTCAAACACTGACGAAAACGATTCAGATGAGTCACCTTTATTTACTCACTGCTCCTGAATTTTTAAAGGCGGCATAGCCTTACAACGGATCAAGGAGGTTTACAAACCTCCGAGCCATCTCCTTGATCATCAAAAATGCCTGTCTGTTGACCACAGCCCTGTGCCCCTGCATGCCGGTGGACATCCCTGGCTGCCCTCAGGGCTGATTTCATCGCCGTGTCAATCCAACCATGTGGCAAAGCCGTGTGCTCTCCGGCAAAATAGACCCTCCCCTCCTTCCGGGCGAGGGCCTCGGCGTGTTCGCTCAGCTGGTAAGGCCTGAAGAGGGTGAAGGCCCCCATGGCGTGGGGGTCCAGGTTCCATTTTTTGACCACCCAGCGGCTACAAAGACGCCTCAGTTCTTCCAGGGGGCGCTGGTGGATAGTGGACAAGTCCCTCAGAATCACCTCGACAGCCTGTTGGGGGCTGAGGGGGGCGAAAAACTCCGAGTCGTCCCCGTAAGTCTGGGAGCCCAGGATGACCCCCAGGCCGCTGGAGAAGTTGCGGTTGGGGTAAGTGGTGATCCTGGAGGGCAGGTCACTGATGGAGGTTCCACCGTAGATCTCTTCTCCTTCTTCCTCCCAGAACTTCTTAGCACAGGCCAAGGCCACTTTGGTGGCTCCTGTGGAGCGCAGAGAACGGAGCGCCTGGGTCTTGGCAGGCGAGAGGGAAGGGTGGAAGCGGATGAGGCGTGTGGCCTCTGCCGTGGACGTGACGATGACGTAGTCAGCCAGGATGGTGCCTGACGAGGCCAGGGAGCTGGAAGGATGGTAGAGCACCGAAACTGTGTCCCCTTCTCTGAGAATCTCTGTCACGGTACTGTTGAGCATCACGGTGCCAGCTGGGAGCGACTGGTGAATAGCCCTGGGCAGCATATCGAACCCGCCAGCGATCTCATCGTACCTGGAGGTCAAGAAAAGGCTGGAGAAGTCATTTCTGCTAGACATGCTCATTCAACTACCAGGAGAGAGAGTGTGTGTGTGTGTATTTATTTCTTTATTGAATTTATATACAGTGGAATCTTGGTTCTCGAACTTAATTCGTTCCGGAAGTCCGTTCGACTCTCGAAACGTTCCAGACATGTGGGTAGGGGAGTGGGAGTCCTCACACAGGCCCTCCACACCTCCTGATCCCTCCACCCGTTACCACGTTTTTAGCAGAATAGAAAGGTAAAGGGACCCCTGACCATTAGGTCCAGTCGTGGCCGACTCTGGGATTGCGGCGCTCATCTCGCTTTATTGGCCGAGGGAGCCGGTGTACAGTCATGTGGCCGGCATGACTAAGCTGCTTCTGGCGAACTAGAGCAGCACACGGAAATGCCATTTACCTTCCCACTGGGGTGGTACCTATTCATCTACTTGCAATTTGACGTGCTTTCGAACTGCTAGGTGGGCAGGAGCAGGGACCGAGCAACGGGAGCTCACCCCGTCGTGGGGATTTGAACTGCCGACCTTCTGATTGGCAAGTCCTAGGCTCTGTGGTTTAACCCACAGCACCATCCACATCCCAATGTTTAACAGAATACTGAAAAGTAAATTCCCCTTCATGGGGAATTTCCCCCAGGGAGGAAGCATCTATGCAACCGGCTTTTATTACCTCTTTTCACGGGTAAACAGGAAAACTTCTCGGAGGAATTCAGTGAAACTGCGGGAAAACTCCGCGCTCAGGTTCATCAGGTCTCCAATCATTCGGATGGCTGTGTAGCTTAGATTTCCCTTTTTGATCAGATACGCCTGTGAAGGTGGGAGAGTGTATGAGGAATAATATGGCTGCGCTCAAGTGGAAATATTGATAGAACTTAAGCACATCTTTGCCTAAAATTCAAAGGCTGTCGTATACCCTAAATTAAAAATAACTAAACTAACAAGTTTTGAAAACCGTGTTCCAAATTTCAACATACACGTTTCAATGTCAAAACTCAAAGGATGAGTTTTCCTTGTGAAAGCTTAACAATTTTCCATCCCACTTCTCAAAGCATGAGTTGTATTCCAAAATCCAAATTTCAGGTGTTGACTTTTAAAAAATTGTACTCTAGACTTTGAAACTGAATGTTTCGAAATAAACGAACTCAATTAAACAAACATATTTTTTTATTGCAGTCATTATACACACGGTAGCACTCTGCTGCCCCCTGGTGGCAGAAATGCAAGGTTTTGTAAACCTACATGAACTTGGGCCAACGCTTGTAGTTTAGTTTGGCCAGAACAGACTCATATGAATTATGAATGGATGGAGAGGTCTGCACTTAACAGTGCCAAACCAGACATGGAACTGCCACTGCTCTCTGTCCCTTTGCTATTTCCAACAGCCAGTAAAGTGAGATGGGGCTGGAGAGATGCAAATCACAGCATTGCACAAGCAAGAGCGTTTCCATGTCTTGTGTATCATCGAATGGGGCTCTCAATTCCGCAAAGTGATGTAATATATATAAAAAGAGGGAGAAGCAGATCCGTGCCGCAAACAGAAAATATCACCCACGTATATCAATAAAACTGAGCACCTTGAGAGAATAGGCATCGTATTTTTCAAGCACATGGCTGCAGTTTGATCTCACCAAGTCCTCTTCTATCTGAAAGGCACAAACGAAGATGAATTGTTGTAGGACTATCCTTGAATGGCAAAGTGTGTCCTCCTTTTCTCCCCATCAACCTCAGGTTTAGAGAAACAGAAGGTTAAATGATGATGATGATGATGATGATGATGATGTTAGACTTCTATACCACCCTTCAGCCAAATATCACATAGTTTAAAACATAAAATAAAAACAAAAATAAATAAAAACTGCTTCACCCTTGTATACCTGGAGGAGCATCTCCACTCGCACTGAGATCCAGCTCCCATGGCCTTCTGGTGGTTCCTCATTGCAAGAGGTGAGGCTACAGGGAACCAGGCAGAGGGCCTTCTCGGCAGTGGCACCCGCCTTGTGGAATGCCCTCTCATCAAATGTCAAGCAGATAAACAGCTATGTGATTTTAAAAGACATCTGAAGGCAGCCCTGTTTAGAGAAGTTTTTAGTGTTTGATGTTGCATTGTGTTTTTGCTATTTTTTTTTTGTTGGGAGCCACACATATGTTCTAGGTCTAACTGAATTATCACTATCGAGACTTCTTACATTTCACTTCCCTTTGGCACCACTGTGTACAACTATGCCCCTTTGCAGACGTGTGTGTGTGTGTGTGTGTGTGTGGTCTTCCAAAGCAACTACTCTATTCTGAACTTAAAAATGGAAAGCGTAATGCTGGTGGTCAACAAAAGAGGTTTAAAGACTGTCTCAAGGCAAATCTTAAAAAATGTAGTATAAACACTGACAACTGGGAAACACTGGCCTGCGAGTGCTCCAGTTGGAGAACAGCCTTTACCAAAGGTGTCATGGGCTTTGAAGACACTCGAACTCAGGACACAAGGGAGAAACGTGCTAAGAGGAAGGCACGCTTGGCAAACCCACACCGTGATCAACTCCTGCCTGGAAACCAATGTCCCCACTGTGGAAGAACGTGTAGATCCAGAACTGGCCTCCACAGTCATGGACTCATTGTTAAAAATGTGTTTATGGAAGACAATCTTACTCGGCTATGAGTGAACGCCAAAGAAGATGAAGAAGATATATAGTGTGTGTGTGTGTGAACGCCACACTAAAAAGTGTTAGTCTTTAAGATACCACAGGTCTCCTGGCAGTTTTTGCTGCAGCAGAGTAGCACAGATACCCCTCAGGCAGGCTGGTATGGCTCCCTGCTAACCTGTTGGCAACTGTGTTCACAAACACACGCATGCACACACACTCTCTCATTTATTCCATAAAATTTATACACTATTTGATGTTGTTTTTTTTTAAAAAAAAAAACACCTCAAAGCAGTTTACAAAAAGAAACTCACCGGTTTCAACGCTTCGTAATACAGCTCCACAGCAGACCTCCCACGTTCGGAGGGATCTACAGGGTATCCCAGAATGTCTGGATCCTTCTCCACCTCTTTGACTCTGGCTCGGATATTGTTCACCAGGTACCAGGCGTTGCCATTGCCGTCTGAATAATGGTTTAATTTCAGGCCATATTTTTGCAACATATTCCCGGACAATTCTGCATGGAGGTAGAGAGAGCCAGTGGGCGGATCAGAGGGGAAGAGTAGGAGGAAAGATGGTAACAGAGGGGAAGAATGGGTATTAAACATAAAGGGGTGTGTTTATTATGCCATTAGTCTTTGATTTCCCGTGTTTAGTTTTTCTGCATAGTTTGTTCCCTTATTGTGCCTCCTGTTCCGTTGCCGTGGTCTACCAGGGTCTGACCCATGTCCCATCAGAGACTTTACTGTATAGGGTGGAGAACTTTGACGAGGAAAGGGTTCAGGAAACCTCCTCAAAGAACCACCAGCATCTCATTCACAGGTTGGTCCTCATCCATGACAGGGCCTTTTCAGTGGGGGTCCCCAGGTTGTGGAATGTGTTACACAGTGAGGTGTCCTGTCTCCATCAAGGAGAGATTTGAAAAGGTTCCTGCTTACACAGGAATTTGATGTCTGAAGAAGAATGTTCCTGGCATTCTCAAGATGAATGTGTGCTTTTCACTGCAGTTGCTTTTAGAAGGTTTAAAATTGTAACACCTTTTAGATGTTTTTAATTCTTTTTTATTATGTTTTGATCTGTTTTATAAGATTTCTCTTTGTTCCTGTTTTTAAATTGTATACATGTTTGCCACCCTGGACTCCTTAGAAGAAGAGCAGCATATAAATTCAATAAACAGACAGGCAAAACACAAACAAACACAAACACACCAGAGGCCTTCTGGCAACACAGGCCTGCCACCGTTCCCTGCAGTATCTCTGTCTTTCCAACCTCCCAGAAGCAGGGTCCCCTGCAATACTTCTGTTGTCCCAACTTCACAGAAGCCAAAGACTTTAAAATAAGCTGAGGACCCTTTAACTACCCAGCCAGCACCTCTAGACTGGCAGAGCCTACCAGATTTGATCAACCTACACAGTGGCGTAGCGTGGGGGGTGCAGGGGGGGCCGGCCGCACCGGGCGCAACATCTGGGGTTAGGGCAAATCCACAGGTTAGGGGGCGCAAATCCACGGGTTAGGGGGCGCAAATTACTTGCCTTGCCCCGGGTGCTGACAACCCACGCTACGCCACTGAACCTACATAAGACTTCCCTTGTCTCTGCACAGACAACATTTCAGGTAGCCGTTTGCCTTAGTGGGACTCATTGGAGCTGTCCAAGGTGCTGAAAGCTTATCACTTCCCATGGGAGCTTCCCACTCCTACAGAACTGGACAGTCGCTGGGTAGGTTGCAACCTGCAGAGTCGCCTTTTAATTCTGCTGCTGGAACAGGAGATGAAAGGGATGTGGCTTCTCTCCCCCATTATCCTCCCACCCCATCGTCCCATACCTGCTGCAACAAGCTGGATCCCAGCAGGTGGGAAAGGGTGTGGACTAGAGGAAAACAAAACTGGGGAAGCCCCAACTGTCTCTTCTGAATCAGGAGCAGAAACAAAGTTAAAAGGGGAATATCTCTAGCCTGCAACTTGGCAATCATATGGCCTGTTGCTGGAGCAATCTCTCTCTCTCTCTCTCTCTCTCTCTCTCTCTCTCTTTCTTTTCCTCAAAAGCTGGTTCCAAATATTCTGTCACACTCTAGCATGACCAAGAAGCACGGCCCCAGAAACAGGAAGCCTGAATTCATAATGGCTGGGATCAGCAAGAGATTAAGGAACAGGTTCAACTCTTACCCAGTCGTGTCAGTGTACCTTTGCATCCTGACATATGGGGGAATGTCTGTCATCCATTCCTTTGAGGCAATGGTAAGGTGCTACATTTGGGGACGTGATGAGACGGAGGGCAGCACACGCCCTCTCCCTCTGAAACTGGACACTCCACTTCTGCTGACTTTGATCATGCAGGGGAAGTTGTAGTGCGGAGGAGCCAGCGTGGTGTAATGGTTAGAGTGTCGGACTAGGACCTGGGAGACCAGGGTTCAAATCCCCACTCAGCCACAAAGTCCACTGGGTGACCTTGAGCCACTCACTGCCTCTCAGCCTAACCTACCTCACAGTGTTGCTGTGGGGATTAAATGGGGAAAGGGAGAACCATGGAGGCCCCTTTGAGCTCTTGGGGGAAAGGTGGCGACAATACAAATGCAAATAAATGAATGGATGAAGTATGCAATGACCAAACATTCAAAAAAACTTTCTGACAGCAAGAGCAGTTCAGCAGTGGAACAGACTCCAATGAGAGGTGGTGGACTCTCCTTCCTTGGAGGTTTTCAAAGAGAGGTTGGATGGCTATCTGTCATGGATACTTTAGCTGAGATTCCTGCATTGCAGGGGGCTGGACTAGATGACCCATGGGGTCCCTTCCAACTGTAAGATTTAGTGACCACAGGGATCCACTGCACACCACAGGGTCCCCTAAAATTGCAACGTCTCCCATCTCTGCACATGCTGCATGACATGATAACGGGCATTTTACCACCAGACTCATTTCAGTTTTGTTCTTGATTTTGTTCTCATTGAGTCACAGAATTGCAGAGTTGGAAGGGACACCCCAAAGGTCATCTAGACCAACCCTCTGCAACGTAGGAATCGCTGCTAAAGAATCCCTGACAGATGGCCGCCGAACCTCTGCTTAAAAACCTGCAATGAACGACAGTCCACCGCCTTCTGAGATAAGTCTGTTTTACTGTCAAACAGCTCTTACCATCAGAAAGCTCTTCCTAATATTTAGTTGGAATGTCCTTTCTTGCCATTTTGAATCCATTGGTTCAGGCCCTACCCTTCGGAGCAGCAGGAAACAAGCTCCTTTCACCTCCTATGTGATAGCCCTCCCTATATTTGAAGAAGAGAAGAAGAGTTTGGATTTGATATCCCGCTTTATCACTACCCAAAGGAGTCTCAAAGCGGCTAACATTCTTCTTTCCTTCCTCCCCCACAACAAACACTCTGTGAGGTGAGAGGGGCTGAGAGACTTCAGAGAAGTGTGACTGGCCCAAGGTCACCCAGCAGCTGCATGTGGAGGAGCGGGGAAGCGAACCCGGTTCACCAGATTATGAGACTACCGCTCTTAACCACTACACCACACTGGCTCTCATTTGAAGGTGGCTGTCATACCAACTCTCTTTTCTCCTGTCAAATGTTATCAGCCGCACACCACCATGGGAATATCACTGCCCCTTCTTACCTGTGGCTGAAAGGCAGGCGCCTCGGGCCCAAATCTACATACCAGCCCCCCTCGGGATCACGGTAAGTCTCCATCCTGCCTCCCACGCAGCTGCTGGCTTCTAGAATTGTCACCTGGGGGGTGGGCAAAAGAAGAACTATAATTGCAGTGGTTGCAAAACGGCCTCCACCGAACAATGTTGAAGAAGGTGCCAATGGGAAAGGGCCAAAGTGTTTGTTTTATGAGAATAGAAGAGGAAGAGTTTGGATTTGATATCCCGCCTTTCACTCCCTTTAAGGAGTCTCAAAGCGGCTAACATTCTCCTTTCCCTTCCTCCCCCACAACAAACGCTCTGTGAGGTGAGTGGGGCTAAGAGACTTCAGAGAAGTGTGACTGGCCCAAGGTCACCCAGCAGCTGCATGTGGAGGAGCGGGGAAGCAAACCTGGTTCACCAGATTACGAGTCTATCGCTCTTAACCACTACACCACCAGTCCAATATTTATAGTCCTGATTATAGCAGCTTTCCTCAGCCTCCAGATGTTGGACTGCAACTTTCATCAGCCCCTGCCAGCATGGCAAATGGTCAGGGATGATGGGAGCTGTAGTCCTGGAGAGCCAAAAGCTGAACGATCTGTCACTGGCACCTTATTCTAGGCAGGTTAAGCAAATTATATCATTCAGGTGTCTGAGATGTCTGGTGACTCATACTGATTTCATTCATTCATCTCCGGTGAGTTTATAATTAAGACTTACAAGCCTTGGATATTTTCTGTTACCTTTCAGAAGTTGCTGCCACAATGGATCTGCTGGTGTTATTCTTATTCAAGGGCAATTATCAACTTGCTGTCAGATTACTTAGCCTGAATGTTCAGCCTGCTAAGTTTGCCTGGAAGTTACACTGTTGAGGAATGCTTGATGCACTGGGGACTGGCAAAATGGACAAGATCAGGGGTAAAGTCTGCTCTCAGAATGGACTTAGGCTGGTGGCACTGAGGGCAGCAGAAATGGACCCTGTTGATATCTTATTGAAAACACAAACTGCAAGAAGCATCTTTCTGTAGAAGAAGCTACTAGAGAGTGGGGACTGTGCAGATTCAAAATGGCCAAGTTTGCAGGAACATCAGCTTTGAGTTCATTGAGTCGGAAGGACTGGGCAGGGTGCTTCGGGTATGCAAGCTCTGACTCGCATTCAGCTGCTGCTGAAGTTTGGGTTGTATTGTGTAGGCTAGGGGTCAGCAAACTTTTTCAGCAGGGGGCCGGGCCACTGTCCCTCAGACCTTGTGAGGGGCCGAAAAAAATATATGAATCAATTCCTGTGCCCCACAAATAACCCAGAGATGCATTTTAAATAAAAGCACACATTCTACTCATGTAAAAACACCAGGCAGGCCCCACAAATAACCCAGAGATGCATTTTAAATAAAAGGACACATCCTACTCATGTAAAAACACACTGATTCCCAGACCGTCCATGGGCCGGATTGAGAAGGCGATTGGGCCAGATCCGGCCTCGGGGTCTTAGTTTGCCTACCCATGGTGTAGGCTCTTCTTCGGTGGTTGGGGCAGACTCCCCTTGGGAGGCACAGAACAGCTGGAAGGGTACAGATGTCAGCAGTGTTGGCTCTGGATTCTGGAGGGCTGGTGGGCAAGACTCCTTTCCCTCCAAGAGTCTAGCTCCTCTCGACTTTCACAGGCAGCTGATTCTCCTCATCACCACTGCTGCCATTGGCTTGCTTGCCAGGGAGAGAGCCAATCAGCAGGCAGTGGCAACTGCTGCTCTGCCTCCCAGCCACCACTTTTCCCTAAGGTGGAAAAGTGCAGCTGTGTGCAAGTCGAGTGGGGAGCCACCTGCAATTGCTGCTTTGTTTCAGTGGGGTTTCCCTGTACAACAGCAAGGTCAAGCTTCTTCACTTTATCTGGGGAAGGGGCATGGCTCAGCAGCAGTGCATCTCCCTTGCATGCAGAAGACCCCAGGTTCAGTCTCTGCCATCTCCGGGTACGGTTGGGAAAGACCCTCTGTCTGAAATATTGGAGAGCTGCTCAGTAAACAATCCTTAAGCTAGGAGGACCATGGGTCTGTGTTATGTACTGAGTTGAATAGGATCCAAAATGCAGCAGTCTGATTGGTCCTAGAACAATAGGATCCAAAATGCAGCATTCTGATTGGTCCTAGAACAATAGGATCCAAAATGCAGCAGTCTGATTGGTCCTAGAACAATAGGATTCAGAATGCAGCAGTCTGATTGGTCCTAGAACAATACAGCAGTGTGATTGGTCTGCAGGAGCCACCCAATCCAGCTCCAGGTGGAAGGGAATCCACAACCTGATTGGCCTACAGGAGAATCCCGGAATTAGCCAATCACGTGCAGCCCATTGTGTAAATAATGTATATAAAGCAGATACTTTGGGGAAACTTTCATTCCTCCTCACCACTATGAGCTGAATAAAGAGCATGAAATCCACTCTCGACTCTGAGTATATTTCAGTCTGGTTTAGCAAAGGAGAGTTTCCTACGCTCCTATGTCTGCAACTTCAGAGATGTCTCTTCCTTTGCTCTCCTTTCTAAGGTCAGTGCTGGATTAGTGCCCTGATCAACAGATCTTTTGCACACACCAAGATACCCACAGACAGCAGTGCGCAAGGATCTTTGCATGCTCTGCTGCGTTACAGATGTCTGGTCCTGGGACAGGAGGGCAGACAGCAGAATAAATTTTGGTGGGGGGTTGGAGCTAGCTCCAAAACAAAATTGAGAAAAACAGGACACGAGACAGGTAGGTGAATTCTGGTGCTTTCAATCAGCTAACATCTTGAAAACGTCACATTCTGGAGGAACTGTTTGTCAGAGATTACCCAAGGTCCCTGAGGAAAAGGTCTGTTTTTCTGGTTATGATTACAGCTCTGCTTCAGAACAGATGCACCTGTATAAATAAAGCCACAAGATCTGACTCATTGGCAACGGCTCTGTTGGGAAACCAGACTGCTGTGCCTTGGTTAGCTCCTTGGCAAAGTGTCAACCGATTTGGGGTCAAAAATACATGGGTGATCCTGACCTATTCTGGATCTCCATTCCCATGCATGGCATAGGAAGCTGCCTTTGTACTAACCAGATGCAATCCAGCCAAGCAAAAACACTTGTGCAATGCAGCAATGTAAAGGGACCCCTGACCATTAGGTCCAGTCATGGCCGACTCTGGGGTTGCAGCGCTCATCTCGCTTTACTGGCCGAGGGAGCCGGCGTACAGCTTCCGGGTCATGTGGCCAGCATGACTAGGCCGCCTCTGGCGAACCAGAGCAGTGCACGGAAACGCCGTTTACCTTCCCGCCGGAGCAGCACCTATTTATCTACTTGCACTTTGATGTGCTTTCGAACTGCTAGGTTGGCAGGAGCAGGGACCGAGCAACGGGAGCTCACCCCGTCGCGGGGATTCGAACTGCTGACCTTCTGATCAGCAAGTCCTAGGCTCTGTGGTTTAACCCACAGCGCCACCCACGTGCCTAATGCAGGGATGTAGCCGGGGAGAATTTTGAGGGCCAGATGTAGAAGCCTGGAGGGGCAAATTCCACACCCTGGCTATCTACCTTCCCCATTCTCTTGAATATGTCTTGCACATTGTGGCACGGCAGGTCGCCAATAAAACAGAGGCTTGCAAGATTTGCAAAAACAACAAAAGATGTGATCATTCCTGCCATCTACATATTTAATTGCCTGGCGGTTTGTGCAACTGCACACTCCGTGGCCCACCCAGTTTTTTCATTTGTTTTTCATAAGCTTGCCCTGCAGCAGAAAATAGTAATTAAGTCCTGCCAGTTGGCTCTGTTGATGGGGGGAAAGTATATAGCAAACGTGCTAATCCGGGTTATTGGACTGGAATGAGCCTGCTCTGCAGAAGCAGAGGGCGGGGGGGGGGGCAGGCAGACGGGGAATCTAGGCTGAGTGAAGCTCTTGTTTTTCTATTCGCACCTGGGTCTTAAATGGAGCCAGCATCCCCTAGAGGAGTAAGGCTGCTATTGGAGCCACTCAGCCCCTGGACCTGCCAAACTATGCTGAGGAAAGCGACGGTATAAGACAGGGGTCACCAACGGGGCATCCTCCGGATTTCGGGACTACAACTCCCATCAGCTCCCAGCCAGAGTGGGATGATGGGAGCTGTAGTCCAGAACATCTCAAGAGTACAACGTTGACAGGTGCCACCATGATGAAAGCTGTATATGCCGTAGAGACCATATCGTTATGCCTAGGACCCTCGTACCTACGGGACCGCCTCTCCCGGTATGCCCCACGGAGGACCTTAAGGTCCATAAATAGCAACATCCTAGAGGTCCCGGGCCCTAAGGAAGTCAGATCAGCCTCAACCAAAGCCAGGGTCTTTTCTACACTGGTGGAATGCTCTGTCTCATGAGACAAGGGCCTTGTGGGAACTGATTTCTTTCCGCAGGGCCTGTAAGACAGAGTTGTTCCACCTGGCCTTTGGCTTGGAGTCAATTTGATTCCCTCCCCCTCTTTCGTTTTTCCTTTCTCCTCCTGTGATGAGGCTGCATTTTAATGTTTTAATGTTGTATTTTAATCTTGTTTTTAAGTTGTATTCATTCAACTCGTTTTTATTAACCCTGAGCCTGGCCTTGGCTGGGGAGGGCGGGGTATAAATAAATCATCTTCTTCTTCTTCTTCTGAAAGGCTATCCTCTGTATTCTCAGGCACCAGAAAGGGGGACATCTTTTTAATTTCCCACAATACCGTGGAGGGATGCTGTGTCAGGAGCACTGTAGGAAATTAAAACAGCAGCTCCCAAGCCCAGTCATCTGGAGCAAATGTTTGTCTAAATGGGAGCCCAAGGCAAGGATCACTTATAGTCCCTTCCAGAGTGCTGTGTCCCCAGCATCTGCCTGAAAATGCCAGGCTTGGTACTTTGAAATGTAAACCTGGCTCTATAAAGACCAGGGCTTGAAAACTGGAAGACAGTCTCAGGAACGCACATACCATCCTCCTCCTATTCCCTCAATCCCTTTTGAGGACAAAATTCTCCCTTTGTTGGCTTTAACCAGTGCTTTTTTTCTATAAAAAAAATGTTCAGGGGTACTCTCATTTTCCTACTCATATTGAAATACTGCCCTTCAATGAGGCCAAACTTAGATTCACAAAATGTTTAGGGGCATGCGTACCCCTGCGTACCCCCCAGAAAAAAAGCACTGGCTTTAACCATGGTTTAGCATTACATATACGCCGAGGTTAGCTATGGTTCCTTTTCAGGTGCATTCCCAGTGCTAGCTTTAACTGTTGTTTGCAAGAAATCAGGATTACATCTGCACCAGGTCACACTGGAAGCAAACCCTTGGTTTCCCCCAGAATATGCATGGGATGGCTAAACAACAATCTATATTTCATACACGTCCATCGTTTTCTTTTCCCGGCTTGCAAACCCGTGTGCAGAAACCATTGTCCCAATTTTTTAATCATTTGGTAGGGCCACTCTGGTGTTGCTTCAGAGACTGGATCAGCTTGAAACACTGCCTTGTGTCTTTAAATCCAAACATCCAGAGCGAGATAAGAGTTTGGGCAAGGTTGGCTGAAGATTGTGAATCAAGAGGGCGGGATTTGGGCTTGACTTACAGGAAAGTGGGCAACCAGGGAGAGGGCCTTCTCGGTAGTGGCACCCATCCTGTGGAACACCCTCCCATCAGATAAGCATTGTAATGTGTAATGCTTCATTATGTTTTTATATACTGTATGTTGGAAGCCGCCCAGACTGGCTGGGGCAACCCAGTCAGAGGGGCAGAGTACAAATACAAAATTGCTGTTATTATGCAACCCTGCCTCACCTGCCCTTGCTTCTCACCCTGCCAATGCCTCCCCATCTCCTTGCCCCCATCACCTTGTGTCCAGCGTCCAGCAGCACTTTCCCAGCTGTAAGTCCAGCAACTCCGGCTCCCACAATCGCAATCCGTCTCGGTTCTTCAGTTTTGCCCAGCCCATCCTTAGCAATATCCAGCAGCCCCTCATATTCTGGATCCTCAAAACATCTCTCTAAGGGGCTGGGCGTGCTCTTCCGCAGCAGGAGCAGAGCGGCAAGGCCTAGAAGCACTAAGAAGACACACAAACATCAACAGCCTAAGAACATAAGAAGAGTCTTGCTGGATCTATTTTAATGGCTTGATTCTTCAACATCAACTTCGTTGGACTGGTCATGTTGTGCGGATGCCTGATTATCATCTTCCAAAGCAACTACAATGGTACCTCGGGTTACAGATGCTTCAGGTTACAGACTCCGATAACCCAGAAATAGTACCTCGGGTTAAGAACTTTGCTTCAGGATGAGGACAGAAATTGTGCAGTGATGGCGTAGTGTAGGCGGGAGACCCCATTAGCTAAAGTGGTACCTCAGGTTAAGAACAGTTTCAGGTTAAGAACAGACCTCCAGAATGAATTAAGTTCTTAACTCGAGGTACCACTGTACTCTACAGTGGTACCTCGGGTTACATACGCTTCAGGTTACAGACTCCGCTAACCCAGAAATAGTGCTTCAGGTTAAGAACTTTGCTTCAGGATGAGAACAGAAATTGTGCTCCGGCGGCGCGGCGGCAGCAGGCGGCCCCATTGGCTAAAGTGGTGCTTCAGGTTAAGTACATTTTCAGGTTAAGAATGGACCTCCATAGCGAATTAAGTACTTAACCCGAGGTACCACTGTATTTTGAACTTAAAAATGGAAAGTGCAATGCTGGTGGTTAACGAGGTTTAAAGACTCTCTCAAAGGCAAATCTAAAGAAATGTAGTATAAACACTGACAACTGGGAAACACTGGCCTAAGAGAGCTCCAGTTGGAGAACAGCCTTTACCAAAGGTGTCGTGGGCTTTGAAGGCACTCAAACTCAGGACGAAAGGGAGAAACGTGCTAAGAGGAAGGCATGTTTGGCAAACCCTCACTGTGATCAACTCCCGCCAGGAAACCAATGTCCCCACTGTGGAAGGATGTGTGGGTCCAGAATTGGCCTGCACAGTCACTTACAGACTTACTGCTAAAACCGTGTTCATGGAAGACAAACTTACTCAGCTACAAGTGATCACCAAAGAAGAAGAAGAAGAAGAGTGGCTTGTTCTAACAGTGGCCAACGAGGTGCCCATGGGAAACATACAAGCAAAGATGTGAGGCTACTTTCCTCTCTCTTCTGATATCTTGGCAACCACATGAATGCAGGGGCGCCGACTTATAAAAAATATTGGGGGGGCCCATACCGGGGTCCTGCCCCGGGAAGTTTTCTAAATTTTAGATGAAAATTAGTGAGTTTTAAAGTTTTTTAAAAGTAATCACTAAAGTCGGAACGCTAAACACGTCTGCAGCATGCACTGAACGAAACTATCCACACTGAATGACTGCGCCAGCAGGGTGGCTTTATATAGCCGCGGCGTCGTAATGTCTCGAAGCGTCAAGGCGACACGAGGTGGAGGATTCCAGGCGCTTCTGCTCCAGTCCTTTTGATGTCGCCGCGGCCGCAGCGCTGGCCCGCCAGACTTTATACGAAGGTTCGCGCACCGGGACAAATTCTAAGTGTGCCCGCAGCACCGTAACACTATCATGATTCACTATGACATTATGTTTGCTGACTGGGAACAGTTATGGACCACCGGTGTTAAGTTCACGGCATGTAATGCCTTAAGAGAAAATATCATGAAAATGATTTACAGGTGGTACATGACCCCAGTTAAGCTTGCAAAAATTTATCATTTGCCCAATAACAAATGTTGGAAATGTAATGAGGCTGAAGGTACTTTCTACCACCTTTGGTGGACCTGTCCGAAGATTAAAGCCTTTTGGGAAATGATCTATAATGAAATTAAGAAAGTCCTTAAAAGGACTTTTCCTAAGAAACCTGAGGCTTTTCTCTTGGGCATGGTGGGCCAATTGGTGTTAAGGAAGGATAGGATGTTTTTTATGTATGCTACCACGGCAGCAAGGATACTTTTAGCAAAGTATTGGAAGACGCAAGAACTACCCACGCTGGAAGAATGGCAGACGAAGGTGATTGACTATATGGGACTGGCGGAGATGACTGGCAGAATCCGTGACCAGGGGAAAGAGACAGTGGAAGAAGACTGGAAGAAATTTAAAATATATCTTAAAAACTGTTGTAAAATTGAGGAGTGATAAGATGTCAAGGAATAGGGAAATAGAGAATTGCAGCTGTAATCAATAAGTTAAAGAAGAACTTAAAAGAAATTGAATTGAATAATTAGTTAATTGGAGGAGTTGCTGAAGAAATGTAAAACAAGGAAGCAGAAAAAGGGAGGTATGGGGAAGTCCGGGAAGTAAGGTGTATGAAAACAAGTGTATGAAATTATACATGTTTATATGTTTGTATGTCTGTGTATTGTGCATTGTTTGTTTTTATTTTGTGTTTGGAAAACCAATAAAAATTTATTTTTAAAAAAACAAAACACTATCATGATTCACACCACTCTTTTCAGTTAACCTGCTTACTACCGTAATAATTATTTGTTTTAACTCATTACTGAATGTATTTTAAAAGGTAACTATCGTCAAACAAGGAAAATAAAAAATACCAACATAATTTTGTGATTTTACAAAGCATAATATAACTAATAATTTTCTTAAATTATTGGGGGGGGAGGGGGGGAGTGGAGGGCGAAGGATAATGGGGGGGTGACTGAGTCTCCCAAGTAAGACAAATGCTGAAAACAGCTAATATAACGATAAATGCAAGGCAAATAAAACTATAAAATAAAGGCACAACCGACAACAATAGGACGGAAGGTCAATATGAGCCAGAAGGGAGCCGCAGCACGGGGAAGGGTAAAACTATAAATTAAAGGCACAGCCAGCAACCATAAGGGGGGAGGGGGTTGGTAAGGGAAATCAGAGTCAGGAGGGAGCCACGATGGGGGCGGAGGGTGCCTGTGGGGGTAAACAAAGCACGGAGAGAGACACAAGGGGTTTGAAGGACAATGGAGGCTTGGGTCCGTGTAAGGTAAGCAGCCTCAATGTAATGTCTGCAAAGAGATGCCCACCTTCAGCCATTTTAAGCACAATTTCAATGCCTGCACCCCCAACCAATGCTAAGACCGCTCAAAATCAGCAGCTTGAGGAGCAGTTTAAAGAGACAAGCATTGCTTCCGGGAAGGGAAAAACTTCCGGAGGTACACACAGACCCGGTGGGCAAATATACCCCCCACGAACTCTGCACACACACCAGCAGATTCAAAGTAAAGCGTTTCTGCAATCGCACAAACACTCAATATATCCACACACAGTCTCAGGACACACCCCACAGATTTAAACAATCGCTTCTGCAAACCCACAGACTCTCCAATTAAGGAAAGCCTTTAGCAGTAAGAGGGGTAATATTAGCAGAGTAGAATTAGCACCCACAAAAACGTAGCAGTGAAAGCTCCCCCGCTTTTTTCCCCAAACAGCGCAGCAACGTTGAAGACACACACACACTCCAAATTAGCTAAACAAGGAGGCTAGATGGGATGTACAAAGAGACTCCCCAGATAGAGCAAATCAACACACACACACTCCACTTGCACACACAGAGGCACTCAACCCTCCCAAATCAACTATCGTAGAGAAAAGGTAAGGCAAAACTTCTCTGTTAAAGCTTCTCTTCTTAGTCAGATCCACGTGGTCGTCGCTGCTGGGAACGAACGGGGGAGGCGGAGCTGGCCCCGCAGCATTAAGCTGCTAAACACGCCCACCGGAGACACCTGGTTGGCTGCCTCCGGTGGGCGTGGGTGCCAGCCCAGGTGAGGAGGGGCGGGGGCTAAGGCCCCCGGCCAGGAGGCGGAGCTCGGGCTCCCGCCCACAACCACTCCCCTCTCTTCCAGGGAGAAGAGTCTTAATAATTTTCTTAAATTATTGGGGGGGCGGAGCCCCCCCAAACGAATTATTGAGGGGGCTCAGGCCCCTCAGGCCCCATGGAGTCGGCGCCTATGCATGAATGCCCACGGAAGATAGTTAGCTCTTCATTGTCAAAGCTGACACTTACAGTAGTTTCCTCAGCTCCGAATACCTGCACACGCCTTGCATCTAGGCAGCTATTCTACGCTCTATGGAGGAGTTGCAGCAACAGTGGGCCATGCCCCCTTCACCAGCTTATGCACCTCCCCACGACAGGCTGCACACATGCAGCCAGAGACTACGCCTTTGTGGAAGCTGCCTCTGCTCTTCCCACTTCTGTTCGCTCCTGGTTCTGGGAGACAGTGGTGCAGGAGAGGGTCAGGAAGCCTCCGGCCCTTCGCTTGCCTGACCTGCTTCTTTCTAGAATCATAGAATCATAGAATCATAGAGTTGGAAGAGACCACAAGGGCCATCGAGTCCAACCCCCTGCCAAGCAGGAAACACCATCAGAGCACTCCTGACATATGGTTGTCAAGCCTCTGCTTAAAGACCTCCAAAGAAGGAGACTCCACCACACTCCTTGGCAGCAAATTCCACTGTCGAACAGCTCTTACTGTCAGGAAGTTCTTCCTAATGTTTAGGTGGAATCTTCTTTCTTGTAGTTTGGATCCATTGCTCCGTGTCCGCTTCTCTAGAGCAGCAGAAAACAACCTTTCTCCCTCCTCTATGTGACATCCCTTTATATATTTGAACATGGCTATCATATCACCCCTTAACCTCCTCTTCTCCAGGCTAAACATGCCCAGCTCCCTTAGCCGTTCCTCATAAGGCATCGTTTCCAGGCCTTTGATCATTTTGGTTGCCCTCCTCTGGACACGTTCCAGTTTGTCAGTGTCCTTCTTGAATTGTGGTGCCCAGAACTGGACACAGTACTCCAGGTGAGGTCTGACCAGAGCAGAATACAGTGGCACTATTACTTCCCTTGATCTAGATGCTATACTCCTATTGATGCAGCCTAGAATTGCATTGGCTTTTTTAGCTGCCGCGTCACACTGTTGGCTCATGTCAAGTTTGTGGTCAACCAAGACTCCTAGATCCTTTTCACATGTACTGCTCTCAAGCCAGGTGTCCCCCATTTTGTATTTGTGCCTCTCATTTTTTTTGCCCAAGTGCAATACTTTACATTTCTCCCTGTTAAAATTCATCTTGTTTGTTTTTGCCCAGTTCTCTAAACTGTCAAG